CACAAAGATCATTTAAGCCATTCACTAATTAAATTCTAGATTGGCCACAGAGCCAGTTGCCAACCTTCCTAGAAATGTTGTTGTATATAGATACATTTTATAGGTGATATGATAGCAATGTAGAAGAACTCACCAACATCAGACTCGAGCTGAGCATTGTTTAAATCAGAGACAAGCTTGCTTATGGAGTCCTTTGTTCCGTTCTGATAGAAACGTTGATGAAAGTAGAGAACATGGACGATATATTAAAGTAAATCCGACCAGACATAGATAAATATCACAATATATATCACCTAAATAAATTTACAGGGAAACAAAGAAGTGATACTTACACATTTCCAATTTCCGCCAACAAAGAACTGCAAGCAAGTAGGAAGACGAGATCAGATACCCAATTGGAAAAGGAGAATAATTTAAACATGTAAAAAAGGACTAATAGAAGCCTTGAATAGAACAGACCATTAGACTGATCCATTGCACCTAATTTCATCTCTCCCTTTTTCTAATTTAGCAGTTTCAATACTTCCGCTTTTAAGATACCAATTCTCGAAATCAAATTAGGCCACAAGAAATCAGCGATTGTCTTCAAATTCTTGTTGTTTATCAACATTTTTTTCTGCCTGGTTAATGAGATGGATTTCCTTTTATGCAATAATACTTTAAGCATTTCAGATCAACAAGTAACAAGTTATCTTTGTTATTCCATACTTAGATGCGTTTATTAGTCTTGTAGGATTCAATCTTCCTTGGGTTTAGCAACTGAGCAATTATCACCAACTTGAAGAAAATGTAAAGGCTAGCCTTTTTGGGACCAACGGTTAAAATGAATGGTCAAGACTGAAATCACAAATTTATTATAAATGCTATCGACGGAAATATGAATAAGGCCAAGCAGTTAACTTTTTCACACTAAAACTCTAAATCTCATAAATAATCCATTTGTCAAAGATTTAAGAACGCTATAGTAGCAATATCTCTAATAATCATTAACATTTATAATACTCCGTTATTATCGGTTAGAGGATGTAATATCAAAGTTTCATGTGTCTCGTGACCCAAAAAAGGACTTTCCAGTCACGGAAAAGGATGAATCAGCTTAAGCGACTATTTCAGAATTCTCATTGAGAAAGAAGGTGAAAGCATATGATCATGCATATTGTGGGAAAATTCTAGTGTCTGATGGCAAACTTAGTGCAGACATTGTATCGGATGCTCATCAATTACTGAAGATGATACTAGCCTCAATCCAATCAGTCTAAGGAGTGCAGGCCAATGTCATGCTGGTGATCCATCCCAGGGTACTAAAGCTATATTTTCAGTTCTGCAGCTTACATTCAAGAAAAAAGATGGGGCAATGGGAAAACAACGGGGTGTTTTCTGCTTTTGATAAGTACAAAGATTTCTTTTTTGTTAAAAGGTGTTATGCTTAAACAGGTAAACAGTGCTAGTTCCAACTAAGTTCAGCTGATTAATTCTTGCTCCAAGTATCCAAATAGTTCACATAGACTGCCAGTTGACTCATTCACAAGGCATACTATAATACTCCTAGAAGTTAACATAATTACATAAGAGTATAAAAAACAATACTCTAAACCGTTCAAACTCTTCAACTAGCATTAGAAGTAAAGAATAAAAACCAGAAGGCCATTTTTTTCCTTCCTCCAACTTGAGAGAGAAGAGAGAGTAAAATACAAAAAAGTTAACAAACCAACAACAGATCTAACAATGTACATCCTCGATCCTAAAAAGCACAATACTACAACGAGAAATATCAAACAATTTTTCTATTAGATTACTATTTCTCAAGTAAATTCTAATTAACAGATGATGATTTACTACAACATGTAAGATTAGATAAAAGATGACCATTTTACTCTACGGAGGAAGAGGAAGAGGAAGTAGTAGGTATGCAAAAAGAAGGGTAAAAAGGTCACCTTGCCGGAGCCGGCCATGGCAACAACGGCCCTACAACCTTTCCGGTCAGCAGAAAGTCGGAGGTGAGAATCGACGGTTTGGAAGAAAGCTTGAGAAGTGGAGAAGGAAACAGAGTTATCAAGCTTGGAGAAAGATTTCCGGAGGCCAGAAAATTGCGGGCATGAAATGGAAGTGGCGGATTTAGGGCCAGACATTTGAGAAGCTAGAGATGTTGATGCTACCGCCATTTTTGGAATTCAACAGCAACTGATGAATGATGATATCCCCTGTTTCGGCACCTGCTTCTTCTGCTAGTGCTTCTATTGTGCGCCTGAATAAAGAAAGTGCCGGTGTTACCAATATCTATTTATGTTTAGTCTATTCACACCCGTGTTTCGGAGCGTCGAACACACGAACTGGTTAAACCTAATTAAGGGTTGGTGAGTTTTTTGTAATATTATTTTTAAATTAAGGTTGGTGAGGGGAATAGAGGATCCAACGGCTGCTTTCTTTGCTATCATCTTCTAATTACAAATCGAACGCATTAGTTAGGTAATAGGTCCTAATTATAACAATATTTAATTAATTATAAATGAGTTAAATTACATTAGTATAACAATAAAAACATATGCAGATCTTACTCATATTATTTTGAAAAACTCATTTACAAATATAATTTTTTTCTTTACCCATCCTTAAAAAAAAAGACTAGTAATTACAATTGCTAATCATTTGCTCAAACCTTTCACTTTCTGCCTATTTTGGTGATAGAAGTGTTTTACAAAATGATAAATAATCACATGTCAATTATCCTAATGTTAACGTATTAGCTGCATTTTTTTTACTAGAATCAAGCATTCTCTTGTATTTCATTTATTATTGGTTAATCGACACTTAATGATTTAAATGGAGTTGGTGAATTATAAAAACGAATATGTTAGTTGGAACTTGGAAGGAATCAAACAACAACGAGCTCGTGTTTCTCCTTTCACAATGTCAAGATTAAAAAATGATCTCTTTTTGGTGCTTAATATACATGGTGATCTCTTTTTCATACCCAATTTACATTATATTTTTTAAAAAGTTTATGATATTTATTTTATTATCGATCACCTAAAAATATTTAATCTAGTAAGATGATTTTTGTTTACTCACACTAAATTTCCATATTAAACAAGTTCAAATACAAATTAGTGATGTTTTAAGTTTCTGGACTTTCAATATCTAAGGAGTAACACTTAGATTGATTCATGTAGCAACACAATGTTGAACAACTCAAAAAATAATTAATTTTTTATTGTTATTAATCTCTTCATGCTTGTTTCAAATTCAAAGTATAATTTGTACCAAAAAAGTTATCTTTATTACCTGATTTCTTGTTCGCATAAATAGAAATAGGATGAAATATTTACTTAGATGTACATTTTATCCTATAGTTCTTTCTATTTCAAGAAAATTATCGTACATTCTTATCTTAAAAAACATTAACTTTACTCTCACAACATAATTGTAATAAATAATTTATAATAATGCAATTCAATTTAACTTCTAAAATCATCACAAAAGTTATATGAAATAATCTCTTAGTTTTAATTTATTTGTCTTGCGGAATAAGTAGGCGAAGTCGAGAAGGAAAGACGTCATTTTCTCTATGTCCATCCACCAACTGAAAGACCGGATTCTCCGTGACAAGTCATTAACTTCTTCTTTTTTTAAAAAATAAAATTAATTTATTATTTATTTCTCAAGGATATTTTTTCCAAGGTCCTGATAATCACACGTTTGCTACCATAGAAAAGACCTCTTATCTATCCCCTCTGTGGTTCGTTTAGCAGCCCATAGTAGCAAATTAACTAGTAGGAGGAGTAACTAGAATTTTTTTTAAAAATAAACTTTTGCCAAACTTAAGTTGTTTGGCATGATTAAATTGAGATCTAAGATAAAGGTAAGTTAAACTAATAGAGTATTTGAAAGTTGAAACTCTCCTAACTAAATTGTTCGGGATTTAGAGGGGGGGGGGGGGGGGAATTCT